ATATATATATATATATATATATATATATATGAGGAGTGTTATAATAATACCGGTGTAACTTTTATTAAGTATTATACCGCTTAATAACTTTATATTAAATGTGAACTTTGTAAATCTAACTGTTAGATTCAAAGTTTATCGAGTTTTTTTTTTCCTTTCATTTTCTTCCTAAACTTACCATAAATAAAATACTCAAGGTTTAAAGCGTTGACCATATATATGGAATGAGTGAGTTTCGTATATAATTTTGGATAATAAAATGAATTACAAAGAGCCGACGATACGAACGTGTAACACTTATCCTCTCGTTTGACTTTTGGAGACATGATACGTATATGAAAATGGCCCGTGACCTATTTGAGAATAAAGTATTCGAATCCATTGACAATATATGTACCGTGTTTATAAAATATAAAGAAGGGGTAAAATTTTAAAAGAAGAAATTTAATTAAAAAAACTAGTTTTAAAATTCATCTTTTTATTTTACTTTAATAAAATAAAAATAAAAATAAAAACATTGTTATTTATATTCTTCATCTTCATTCTATTTTCTTCCGAACATACCATAATCGAGCAATACCATGTACAAAGTTCACATTGGTATTTGTTACTTTAAAGACTCCTTGGTAAAACTAATTTTCTTAAGAAAAAATAATTTTAGCGATATAAAGGCCTTTAATTTAAGTAAAAGATGTGCCGAAAACAGCACCTAATTAAGCACTTAATTACAAAAGATTGCATGATGCCCAAAATAAATATAACAAAAGTAAGTCCTGGGCACATATATAAAAAATTTCCCTACCCTATATGGACCTCGTGCCGTTTTTGCTTTCGACGTGAAGAAGATTTAGATCAATTGTCTTTTTTCTTGCCAGATATCCCACCAGGTGTGGTCTCTCATTTATGGTTGGATTGGCTTTCATGTTGTCTTACCATATAATGGATATCATTCTCTATCTTAAGAAAACATACCTAATTTACTACTTACCAACTTAATTAGAGATAACAGTATCATAAAAACTTTGCTATAATATCCTTTGGCTGGCAAGCTAGTATGTGGTACGTACCGACCTGGCCCCGTAAATGAACATACATGTGTTACCAAGTTAGTATGTTGAGGTGAACTTGGTTATAAATCCTATAGATTGGATATTGTATCAACCTCAGTCAAATGGTGACCAAGTTCGAACTAACTTGGCCTGTCAATTCGGCCTGCCCAAGCTTAAATCACAATATCAAACAATTAATTTAATGGTAATAATGACGGTTATATAGGCAAATTATGAAAGTTTTCTATTTTAATATCTGAGTTTTTTGTTGGATTTCTGGTTGATGCATGAATATATGTTTGATTTCAAAATTAGATAAGTTTTGATATGATTTAGAGTGTTCTATGGGTTCCTTTGGGAAACCCTATGAGAAACAATTAGGGGTATGATCTTTTGACAAAATTTGAGGTATTTTATGTAAAATTGAGTATGAATTTATGTTCTAGGTGTTATTTGGAGGATTTTTACTGATTGATTTATATAATTACATGTTTGTTGTGAAAAATCGTCTGATTACTAAGTGTAGGTTCGCACTGAAGGTACCGAGCGCAGTTCTTTGCGCCGAGCGCAAATTAATAGCTTCCCAGGAAAATTGAGTCGAGCTTAAGAAAATTGAGCCAGGCTCACGAAAGTTGCACCGGGCGCAAGAAAGTCATGTCGAGCGTGTGTGAAGCTATGCCCGGCGGAATTCTCAGCTTTAAGCGCAATATTAAATTTGCCAGGCGCTTTGGTGCGGCATCTAATGCGCCACGCACAAGTTGGGGCACGTCGGGCGTGACCCCTGTGTTGTTTTATATGTTTTATGTCTTGTTTGAAAGTGAAAATTGTGTGAAAATTGACTTGGTACTGTGTTAGCGTATGTGATGTGTTTTATGAGCATGATAAGGACATGAATCTCCAAATGATGATCTTATGAGTATGATTATGAGAAATGTGAAATGTGAAATGTGAACAAGTGACAAGAGACATGAAATTTCTTGACAAGTAAAATGTTGAGTCCATGAGTTTGTGGATGTGTGACATGAATCATATGCATTTATGTGACAGGATACGATATGGAGTACATCGTTAGGGACGGCCCTCCAAGTGTGAAAAATATCTTGGAGGAGTCCTAGGGGATAGTGCGATTTAGAAGGCCCAGTTCTGCCTGTTTGTGTGCATGGGACGTATCTTGCGTGGCTTCACTATTCCGACGAGACCCTAGCAGTACATCCTTCTAGTTGAGAGTGCACGGTTGAGCCGGCATGTACTCCTAGACTACTCCAGGTATGTTGCTTCGACAACATACCACGTGATATGTGATTATGAGACACGTGACTGACCCCACATGCATGCATTATGAGTTGAGTCCATGACATCATTGCATGATAAATGAGTGTGCATGTGATACTAATTGTGTATGTGTATTGTTTATATGTGATTGGTGCTTGTGACTTGTATTATATTTGTTGTGTGTGATGTCTAACCTTAATTTATTTCTGCACCTAAACCTGAGTGAGATGTTTCTCACTCCCTTGTTGTTCTTTGTATGTGTTTAAATTGTGTTGCAGGTGAATATCAGCATGAGGATGTTGGTGATGAGGCTTAGACTTTAGTTGGGCATCCTCTGATAAGATATGTGACATCGGGGCATAGTTATGACTAGTTTAGGATTTTAGTTTCTTTCTTTTGTTTTGGAAAACCTTTAACTTTATTTTCCACAAGTGATTATGATTATGTATGCGAATGTGAAACCTTTACCTCTTTGTTAATGGAGACTTATCTAATTGTGAAAGTTTTTATTCATTCTAATTTATCTTACAATTATTGTATATTGTGATGGGGTAGAGGGTGTCACAATTTGAAAGTTGAAGAATTATTAATAGAATTTATAGTAATTTTTTTAATTTTTTTGTAAAAAATATTCTTACAGAATTTCTTACGAAAAATTTGCAAGAAACTTTTCCTGCAAATTTTTTTCACAAGAAATTTTGCAGTAAAATTTCTTGCAAATCTTAAAATTCGCAAAAACATATTATCCACGAAGGTATTACCTACAGATAAAATTTCGCAGAAAAAATTCGTTGAAATAATATTTGTTGCATATTTTAATACAAAATTCGCAAGAAAAATTGCTCGTAATAAAAGAAATTATAGTAGTGTTATACTAAAAAAATCATCATTAGTAATCGGAATTGGATTTTCCTAAGCATAGAGTTGTAATCGGAAGTTTTACTGTGGAAATATATTATATCTCTTTATTAAATCAAACACTATTAAAAATATATAATTTTCCTGTGAATAATTAAATTCCGAAGGAATTATCTTTAAATTTTGTTGTAAAAATATTTATAATAGGGTTATTTATTTAGAATGAAAATTCACAAAACAATTTCCAAGAATTTTTCTTTCTTTTTTTTTTTTTTTTTCAATTTCTCTTGTAGAAAAAAATATGAAAGAAATGTTTAATATTAATAAAATCACAGGAAAGGTTGCAAGTAAATTAGCTGAGCATTTTTCTCCATAATTTCTCGCAGACTTTGCATCAGCAAAAAAATATTTCCTGCGGTGCATCACAAATAGATACAAGTAAACTTAAATGACTTTTAAATAAATAAAAAAAATAGTTAAAAATGTTAGCATGCATGAACACCGACGGTGATTTCTCTCATTGCGAGCAACGTAACGCAGATGTGGATGAAGCAGCGTTTCTAGAGAAAAGGAGCGAAAGGTGTCTTTTTCTCTCGTTAATTTGTTGCTGCTCAAATAAATATATGACTTACATATAAGACAGTACACCTTGCCTCACAAGTTGGAGGGACACCAACTTTTGTTGTACATACTTTTTTATAAATAAGTCATGCTCTGAATGCTTGTCCAACATCATTTTATGTTGTCCAGTTAGAATTCTTGGAATAGAGTCAATATTCTTATCAGAGTAATTAAGAAACCTTTATTACCAAACATAAGTTCCTTTTATTCCGATGTTACAATGAATTCAGGATCACTTGGACAAACAGATCATGGAGTACCTTTTTTCAATAGGAGAGATACATTGTGCCAATGTTTAAATGATGGTTATGCATAAAGATCCATGGTTTAGCCTTCTTCTTCAAAGACGTACGTGATCAAAGTGGGTCTAATTTATTTATTGAACTATATTATTACATATAATAAAGATATAATTTATAATTTCAATAATATAATTAAATGAAAATATTATAATTAAAAATAGAATATTGATATTAAAAAATTTTAGTATAATGAACAGTAAATTAATTCATATAAATATATACGTAGATCTAAAAATATCTATTTCTTTTAGGTTCGTAAGAAATTTTTTTATAAAATTTATTGTGAATTTGGAGAAATTTATTATAATGTGCAAGAAAATTAAATGCAATTTGTTTTATAAATTTTAAATATGCAAGAAAATTACTTACAAATAATAAATCTACATAAAGCTTTCTGCTGTAGTTAATTTCTGTTTTTTTCTATAAAAAAATTTCATGGAAAAAAATTTGCAACAAACTCTCTTATAATTATTTTCTTCATATATTCCATAAGAAATATCTTACAAATTTAAGATTCACATAAACATATTATCTACAAAAGAATTACATGTGGATAAAAATTTGTAGAAAAATTTACAGGAAATTGTAAATTCTTAAGCAAAATCTACATGTAATAATAAGAGAAATTCTAATATTAAAAAGAAAAAAACAGTAGCTCGCAAAATAAATATTAAAATATTATATTATATTTTGTATGTCAGGTAGGTGAAGAGTGACTTCAAGCTAATTTCTTTACCTTGTTAAGCAAGAAAATGGATGCATTCACACTAGTCAACTGACTGCAAAAACGAATATCCAATACTTCCAGATTGATGGCTGTTGAAAAGTCAGGCAATTCTTTTAGGAATTTCGAGCCATAAAGTATTACTTGTTTTAAATTCTCCAAATTCTGTGGAAACAAAAAACAAATGAAGACATGACACATGAGTTTTGGTTGTTGAGTTTATATTATTTGAATAAAAAGAATAAAGGAAGGAACTCATATTTACTTGTTCTCCATGCCAAAGTGTTTCTAGTCGGCTGTATGACAAGTCCAAGATAACAAGGTTTTCAGCAGAAAAGCTATCTGGTAAAGACTTGAGAGGGTAATTCATCCAACGAAGGTATCTCAATTCCGTTGGCAGATATTCAAGTCCTTCAGGAAGAATATCCAAGCCATCAAATTCATTTTCACTGTGAAAATCCATGAATTGTAGTTTACTCATTCTCACAAATATGTCAGGGCTTAGCTTCAACTTTTTAATTACTGACAAGTGTGTCCTTATGCTTCTAATGGCTTCAGTCCCCTGCCATCAAAGTTGGGGAAAAAAAATTAATTAATCATCAAAATCCACATCTCCAAAAAATTTAAAAATTCAAATGTTATCTAAAGTAGTAATTTACTAACTCCGTTCACCTGAGAGATACTTAAATTGTCCTTCCCAGTAGCTTAAAAAATTGCAGCTACCTTCCTAGGATATGGAATATTGTATTATATTTTCGTTTAAAGTGAGAAGGAGAGAAAAAATAAAAATAAAATAAAATAAGATTTTATAAGTTGTTTGATACAAATGAAATAAAAAGAAGGGAAGTTAAGTATGTATCTAAAAAGACAAACATATTTAAGTACACAAAATTGAAGTTATTTTAGTCAATCAATCAGTAAGACAAGTTTCTTTATCTTTTTCTTCACATTTTGAGAGGATAGCTGATTTGGTGACGCTCATATGTTTCTTATGCATTCCTTATGCTTTTTTAAACAACTAAAGGAGGAAAAAATTCATCATTCCCTTCTTTCCTTCCATTTCATGGATATCCAACAAAATATTCTAGTGTTAACTTATCCTTCATAAAAAAAACACTAATAAATTCAAAATTTGACTAACACGTTATATGATGAATATTGATTTATATGTCGTAAAAAAAAATTCTATAATAAATAAATTAACATCTATAATAGAATATTTACTTTGTTGTTCAAAAAAAAAAATCTATAATAGAGTATTTAGACTTATTTACAAATATTCCGATGTATTATTTTTATGTCGTATAGATAACATTCGACATAAAAGTGCATCAATAAATTATATTTTTACATTAGTATTAATGTACACAAACTTATTACCAAAATTGAGAATCTAAGTTAAAATAAAATAAATTATTATTATTTGTACTACTCTTGTGCCTTTTCTCCTCATATTATCCATTTAAAGCCCAACATTTGCTAACATAGAATATAATTAATTATACATCAATGGGATACAATTATAAAGCAGTAAAAAAATTATTTTTTAAAATAAGTAGTGCATAATTAAAGCATTTATGATGACAGAATAATATAATTCATCTAATAAATTAGGCTTTTACCTTGTTATTTTTCAATATCTTATAAATATCATCTGAATCCCATAGCCGACTAAGACTTCCAGAATTTTCATTAGATTCTTGACGAACAATCTCCCAACCCATTTTTTGTATAATATCATGCATATACACAATATTGTCTTCCGACACATTGATGAGAGATTTGTCTTTCAACCTCTCTAACCCAACAACAATAGAATTATCACTCTTACTATCTTTCAACAAAATTTTTATGTAGTCTACTTCTAAAAACAACTCACTAAAGAAGCAGGCAAGATCCAAAAATATCTTTTTCTCTTTGCAGTCCAAATCATCATAACTCAATTTCATTACATCATATATCTTTTTACTAGATAACCTTTTAAGTTTGTATAGTTGACTTTCCCATAATTCTTTATCCTTTCCACAAAGAAGATGACCCAAAACTTTAAGAACTAAAGGAATTCCTTTTGCATAATTGACAATCCTCTTTGATAGCTCATAATACTCTATCTCAAGATGATTTTGTTTAAAGGCATTCATTTTGAAAAGTTTAAGTGCATCGTCAAAGTCCAATACTCCAACCTTATATATATGGTCAACCTCATTCCTGAGCACTTGTTTGTCTCTACTTGTTATAATTATTTTACTACCAGATCCAAACCAATCATGAGCTCCAACTAAAATTTTAAGTTGATCAGAATCATTCACATCATCAAGAACTATAAGAACCTTCATAGAACCAAGTTTCTTCTTAACATAACTAGGCAATCCATTTGTTGTGTCAATTTTCAAATCCTCTTCTAGTAAGGTAGAGTAAAGCTTTTCCTTTAAATAAATTATTCCATGCTTTCTTGACTCTTCCCTTACATTCGCTAAAAAACAACATCCATGAAATTCAGCACAGAGTCGATAAAATACTTCTTCAGCAATAGTTGTCTTACCAATACCACCCATACCCCAAATTCCAACAGCACGTGCTTCGTTTGACCCTTTGCGTAACAATGATTTTATATGTGCAATTGGTTTTTCTATTCCAATAAGTCCTTTTGAGTTACTTGTGTACATAGCATTCAACTTCATCGACATACAATTGACAATTTCATCAACAAGCTCGTCGTCCTTCCTATGTGTGTATAAAAAAGGGAGAAAAAAAGTTGAAAAAACCTTCATTAGGACAAGACAAAATTAAGAATAAAAAAAATCTTCTTATCATCATTAATTACTTATCAAAATTTATAACTTTTAACACCCTAACAATTAAGACTAAGAGAATATTAGTATAATGATTAAGAGAGTATTAGTTAAAAAAAAATAAAAGTATCTAAGAGAGTATGAAAAGGGAAATACATACCGAAAATGGGTTGACAAATGAGCAGTTTCCTTGAAAGCATTTCCATAGGTCCCCTTTGGATGCGACACATGGGAGGGATCTATCCTGTAGAACACAGGTATCACAACCTGCCCGTAATCTACAAACGCAAGAATTTGGTTTACAGAAAAGACCTTAATCATGCCACTAATTGGGAAACTTCCGCGGATGCCCTTGCCTCTGAAACTCACAAATACCTCGTACTTTTTTGAACGAGGAGGTCGTGAAAGACTAGGCTCTGATATTTCCGTTGCCGCCACGCATAAAATAAGAGAGACTGACAGAAGCACCCTGTGTCGTGTGTGAGGAGAAGGGTAAGACACCATTGTATTGGAAAATTTAAGTCTGCTCTCTATTATTTTTTGTACACAGATGATTAATATAGACTAACTCAAGGTCGAAACTAGCGTTGACCAGAGGGAAATTATCAGTGAATTTCGTATGGAAATTTGTACAAAAAAAATTAGTAAATAAAAAAATAAAAAATAAAAAATCGACCGTGCTGGAAACCTTGAAAAAGACAAGGTTGGTTTTTTTAAACCAGACAAAATAATAGCCCTTGATAAAGTATTGAACCATTCAACAAAATAATAAATAAATAAAATATTAAAATATCTATAATATATTTATTTTTCTATATATTCTTATTTTCATTACGTAGACATCTTTATTTTTCTATATTTCCCTATTTTTATATTCCTTTTATCAGCAAAAGTCATGTTTTAATGTAGATTATTCATCTTTAATTATTTATTTTGAAATATTGTGTAAATCATATATGGAATATTTTGGTATATTCCTTGGGAGAGAGTATATGAGAAATAAGTTTATTGCTATAAAGTATTCTGATGGATTGAGAAAACTCCCAGCGGTACCATGGACTTACGACAGCAAGCATGCCCTGATTGTACTTGTTTAAACTAATAATGTGGTATGTGTTTTAAATTTTAAAATGGCGTGGTGAAAGACTTTAAGACTTTGATTTTTTATTTTGTTTCAAGAGAAAGATGTGGATTTTGGTGGGGCTGCGGTTGGAGGTGCCACATGGGGAGAGGAAGTTCGAACACGGGAGTGCATTGACAACAGTGCCGAACACTATCAAATAAAATTAAGTTTTCTTTCAAAAAAAAAAATTATTTAGAATATAGAGAATAATTTAGGTCATTTCTACAAAAGACACAATATTGGATCAGTTTTAGCTTGTCATGGGTTTACCTGATATTGTAGGTTACCAAGTCTATGTTTACATACTCTTATAAGTTAACAATACTATATATTCCTTGTACTACACCAGTTATTAATTCAATTCAGATTAATTTATATTATGTTTTCCTTCCTTGCGGCTATTCTTGTTACTTGTTTCACCCTCCCTGTTGACAAGAAGTTCATATTTCTAATATGGTATAAGAAGGAATAAACTCAAACATGACAGCACAAACAAAAGATCCTAGCCAAGATCCAAAGCAACCCTCTTTTTCTACACCTTTCAGATGGACCGGTCTTGTTCTCACCTCTCAGCCTCTTGATCACAAGAACTACACCACATGGAGTCGTGCGATGCATGTGGCTCTCTCCATGAAGAATAAGTTATCCTTCATAGACGGAAGCCTCCCGAAACTCGTTGCCACAGATTCTACCTTTGCTGCTTGGAATCGCAGAAACAATGTAGTTATATCTTGACTATACAACTCTGTCTCTAAAGATATAATCATGAGTATTCTCTTTGCAACCACTTGAAAAGAGATTTGGGATGACTTGAAAACAAGATTTTCAAGAAAGAATGAACCCCGGATATTTCAACTCAAGGGCCAATTGATGTCTCTTCAACAGGGATTAAATGATGTAAGCACATACTATACCAAATTGAAATCCAAATGGGAGGAATTAGCTGGCTACAGACCCAATTTTTAGTGCACTTGTGGAGGACTTCAATCCCTTCAAGAACACACACAATTTGAATATGTCATGTCCTTCCTGATGGGCCTAAATGATTCTTTTTCACAAATTTGTGGTCAGATCTTACTCTCGGATCCTCTTTCTTCAATTGGTAATGTCTTTTCCCTAATTCTTCAAGAAGAAGCTCATAAAGAAATTGCTATTACTCACACTCCTTCTACTAACTCTAAACACATGGCCTTTATTGTGAACCAACCTTCTAAAACACAATCTGATAGCAACAAAAAGGGATTTATTAAGAAAGAAAGGCCAAAATGTGATCACTGTGAGATGTTCGGTCATACCAAAGATAAATGTTACAAACTTATGGGTTACCCTCCTAACTATTTCAAAAATCGTCAACCAAAAGCTGTGAATCAAGTTGAAAACTCACCTGAATCTTTGAATTTGAATCCCTCATCAAACCTGACTCATGCTCAATGCCAACAGTTAATCACTTTTCTGACTAATCAAATGTAGTCAGAAAATACTCCTGATGCATTAGCACCAATGTCACAAGTATTTGCATGAATGTGGATTTTCCTGACAAAAATAGCACTTGGATCATAGATTCAGGGGCTACCTCACATATATGTCGTTCAAAAACCATGTATAACTCATATTCACCTCTTCAGAATTCTAATGTCTTATTGCAGTACATGGGAGTATAATAATTATAAACTAAAATTTAAACTTTACAGAATCATGAATTTTAAAATCCAATCGGATAAACCATCAATCCAAATTCTGATTATTGCAGTAAAAAAAATATAATATGAATTTCAATATTTAATATTTAATTCAAATTAAAGAACTAAGAACGTAATCGTACTCTATGAAAATCCTACGAAGACAAATCTATTTCGTATTATTTCAATTTGAATTGAATCCAATTTGATGTTCTAAATTGATTCGAATTAATTATGTCCTTCAATTAATCAAAAACAAAATCCATAATCATGAATTTAATTCAAAATTAATTGAAGAACAGAAAAGAAGAGATGAGAGGAATTCGAATTTGAGAGGATTTTGCCGCATAATCGAAAACTTGAATCGATTAAGAGAACTTAGTCACACATCTCCATCATTGTCCACACACAAATCTGTTCAGAGAGAAGATGAAAGTCTCGGACAAAATAGAGAGGAATTCGTGAGAGAGAAAAGAAGAGAGTTGAGAGAAAAATGAGAGAAACTTCTAGAGCAGGAAATCTGAAATCTAAAAAATGAGTGTCGACGTGTTCACAACACCTATTAATAGAGAAATATAGTAGGCCTAATCTGAGTAATTAAAAGTTCAACCCACTAAATTAACTAATTACATCACTAAACAAATTATAACATTATAATTTAAAAACAAACAGAAAATACTACATAGGGTCGTAACCTTGCAATGCATTTTTGGATCCCTTAACAATTGAACTAGATTTTTCTTCTAATAGAAAAGTTGTAGAACTCTCTTTTATCTTTCCATAGACACCAAAAACGTTCAAATCTGATATCAGTAGCTTCAAATATGACCTATACAAGAACAAAGTGTAAAAATGGGTAAAAATCCAAAATTGAATAAAAATTATAACAATCATCAAATAAGAATACTTTTTAATACAAAAACATGTAAACAAACGGCTTTGATTAAAGATTACAAAGTTATTACGCAACTAACTTTGAAGCCAGTTTTCTTTATCCCTTTCATTAATTAAATTGAAATTAAAAGTTAAGCAATAATAGAATTAATGAAAAATGTTTCATGGACATCACGATGTTAGTATTAGACACAAAGAGAGAAACAAAATTGAGTATAAATGTGATAGTTAAATAATTTATTGTGACTGTATTTAAAGCTTATAGCTCTTGTGTAAGTCCAATCCATTGGGGCATAATTATATATGATGATGTCTCTTTCTTCACAATCTTTTTTGTTTTCTAATCAATATACTTCATAATACTTCTCAATTTTCATTTCATTCCTTCTTTAAAAGTTACAACATTTCCTGGAATCTCTATACCAAGTCGATCTATAATCCTCTCTTGCTTCTTTTGATTAGATCATTGAAATTTTCTATACCACCAACAGGTATCTCTTTCTACTTCATTCCTAAAATTAAAAAAAAAAATTAAGAAAAAAAATAGAATTGTGCAGATAAAGGACGATATACATCCCATTTCAAGGCAGGGTCAAAGACTGAAGACATTTACATGTACATCTTGAGTTATACACATTTCCAAAAAAAAAAAAAAAGCACATAAAACCTTAGCAATAGAATTGTTTAATTTCTCCCATTTTATCCTTTCCTCCACTTGTACCGGCAACATTTTGGCAATGATAGTAAAACTGTAATCTAAGAGAGTGTATTGGATTAGGATTTTAAAGAACTTTTTTAGTTAAAAAAAAATCTTGCGGATTTTAAAAGACTTTGCAGGATTTTCATAACTTTTAAGATTTTGCAGGATTCTACAAGACTTTAAATCAGGATTTTAATGGATTCTACAAGACTTTTAAATCATGATTTTAATGGATTTTACGGGCTATGTAGATTTTGTAGAATTTTCGTGAATTTTTGACATATGATAAGATTTCAAAAAAAAAATTTCATACATTCAAATTTAAAGAGTCAAAAATAAAAATAATAAAAAAAATGTCTAGATAAATAATAATAAGAATTTTTCATAATATCATATCCTCTTAAATAGCATTCACCTACATATCCATAGTTATACTAGTCCTTCAAGCATTAGCGTCTTCTCGCTCTTGTTCCTGAATTTGAATAATAACCTCAAAAGTATGATCTTCATTAACCGGTAATGTTGAAGATGAAGGAATCAGTATATTTGATACTGAGAAAATATTAGATATATAAATTTTTTTATATAAACGGATGTATTTAGATACAGAGAAAATATATATATATATATATATATATATATATATATTTAGTATTTTAGTTATATATAGTAAATGATAATTTTTTAACAATGTAAATTATTCTAACAAATATTTTAACAATATTTCCTTTTTTTAAAATAAGTTAATGGAGCATAAACCCTAAACCCTACAAAATTAGATACTGCAATGTCTTATGTTAATTTTCTTTTTTTTAAATATAAAAAATTTCTAATTTCACAATATAGAAATTAAAAAAAATCATAGTAAAAAAATAAAATAATTGTTGAGTCACTAAATGAGGAAGGATAAGAGTAACAAACTCAAGGAAAGGAGAGAGATCGCAGTTTTTATACTGAGAGGGTTTTTTCTCCAACTAAGATCCATTTTTATCTCATTCTACTCACAGAAACCCTAACTCAAATTCATCTTATATATATATATATATATTGTTCTAATAAATCTAAATTGATTTATATATATATATATATATATTGTAGAGATCATGATATCAATTTCATCTTTCACCTTTCCCTTTTTTTTGACGCATGTTATAAAAAAATTACCACTTAAAAGTTAAATTTCAAGCATTTTTTTGTGTTATATAAAGGAAAAAATTTAACTAAATAAAATAAAATAAAGGAGGTCAATTAAAGAGAATGAAGAGAAAAATAGAACAAGTTAATGACACTATCATTTACATATCAGAGTTTCACAAAATAGGGAAATGGAATGGGAACAGTATTACAGTATTATATATGAGCAATGAACAATAGTGCAATATTATTAGCATAGAAAAAATAGAGAAGACAGAAGCATAAAAAAAATGAAAAATTTACTTGAAAATTCTTGAAGTACTTGAAAAGTCACTTCAAACAATCTTCCAAAATCTGATGAGTTTGGATGTGATTATTATTTTATGAATTTGGTATTTATAGATAGCACTAGAAAGTCCTTCAAAATCCCTCTAACATAACAATCCTTTAAAATCCTTTTATTTTTTAGAGTTAATCACTTATACACTGTCAGTGTAAAGATTTTTTACACTGGCAACCAATCATATCTTTTAATAGTGACATGTCAGTTGCTTTTAATGAAATAATAATAAAATAAGTAACTTTAAAAGATATGATTGGTTGCCAGTGTAAAAAACTTTACATTGGCAGTGTAGGGATAATTAACTCTATTTTTTAATACTAATGGATTGTTTTTAAGTTGTAAAAAATATCAAATGAATACCAATAGATTTTAATGGACTCTTTAAAAAATCTTGAAAATCCAGATTGAATACCACTTGATTATTTTTAAGTGATATAAAATCTTGATTGAATACCAACGAACTTTTTTACTCAAAAAAAAAAAGTCTTTTAAAATCTTATGAAAGCTCAAACCAATACATCCCTTAAATTTACAGTTGTCCATTTTGATCTTCTAGAAGGGTAGTGATCTAATTTGTTAGAGCTTGAATATACATTATGTCTTCTTAATTAATAATTATCACCGTGAAAAGGACTTTTTACCTAACATGAAAACAAAAAAAAATGTAAAACTTTTGAATGGAAGTTTTATTTACCGGTTCTGGTATACATGTTTTCATATAGATAAGATTTTATTAATTATGGGTTTAGTTACTCTCATAAGATAATTTATTTTTTATCATTACTCAAAAAATTTCATACAAATGAAAATATCTATATGCTTATAATTCATGTGAGACTCTGATTATATTCTATCAGAAAAAAAATCGCATCTTGTTATTCACCTTTGCTTCCCAATCTTTAAAGTAAGAAAATAATAACATTAATAACTCAATCACAAATTTTAGAAAATAGAAACTAATTTTACTTTTTTATGTTTGAAGCACAACGAAACATGTATTTGATATAATATATATCCGATATAGAAATATCATTATTTTAAAAATACAAGATAGATTATGTATATATAGATATGTTTCAATATTCATAATATAATAAATGTATAAGTGTAATTTTGAA